AAAACAAGAGAAGGAGATTTTGCACAGTACATTATCTAGAATGAAAAGGACACATTTTTTGGTTGTAATGTAAAGGCTACTGCCTATGCCAATCACCCTGTCTGAATATTTTGTCCTTGAAAATTGATGTGTGACGTCTTATCAATGGAACAGTTCATCCTTACGGGTATGTAACCTATAATTGATGATGTGTAACCATTAATAATCTCCACAAGCCAATCTTGCTAAACATGATTAAACTTTTTATCTCATCTACTATCAAATGTGCTCTAAATATACTAGATTTACACACCCCTGTGACCCGATGGGCTGCCCGAACAATTTTGCTGGATCAGAAAGCCCAACCTTTTTTTTTTATCGTTAAATGTAAATATATAGATCAAATCTAGTTCGGACAACCGGTGTACAACATACAAAAGCGTAATGGGCAACTACAATTCGGTTCCTCATTCGCAAGATAAAACTATACAAGGCCAACCACAAGTCGGTTGGTCTGTCACTTACAACAAAATGCAATAAGTCATTTGTGGGTCTCGTATAAGGCTTCGTTCGCTACACATAGGAAAAAAACAGAACTGGAAACCGAGTTCGTACGGACCCAAACGAGCCCAAAACATAGGGTTGAGTCAAGCTGCCCAAGTCGCGACTGACAGTCTTCAGTCGCGACTCGCGGGTTTCAATAGCGACTCGCGGGTATCAGTCGGGACTCGCGGCCAGCTTCAGAGGAGTCCGTTCATCTGGGCGTCTACCAGTCGCGACTCGCGGCCAGCTTTAGAGTAGTCTGTGCATCTGGGTGTCTTTCTGTCGCGACTCGCGACCAGATGTTGCGACTCGCGTCTTACAGTCGCGACTCGCGTCCAGCTTCAGAATTTGGCTCCAAAATCCATGCTTAGCTAAATTTTTAGCTATTTCGCAACCCTCATCATGACCGAGGCGTCGCATATCAAACTCAACAAGCTCAATAGGGTACAGAGCAAAGACTCCTTCTCTCAAATTCAACAAGCACATTCGGATAAGTTGTAAAAATAGTTCTACAAACGTGGGTTTTTACCTTGCGTATTACAAGGCTCGAGCCTTGATATTCATTCTCAAACACCAACCGATTTATAGCATTCCAAATGAAGTACACGGTAGATGCGACCGCCGCTTTCTTCAACTTAGTTTGCCAACCACTCCCTCTCGCCTCCTTCTTGATCCATTTGAGAGCTCCTTTGAGTGTTGACGGTCTATGTCGGAGGCTAACCCAAGAACGAATCTCCTCCCAAATCTCCGAGCTGAAGGTACATTCAAAAAATAAATGGCTTGAAGATTCATTCGCAACTCCTTATAGAGGGCATATCGGGTCTTCCTCAAGGAATTCGAAACAGTCTCTTGTCTGGAGACGATTACGCACCCCCAACCAAAGGATAAAGGAATGCTTGGGTGTATTACACAGGCCCCAAACAACTCCATTCCACGGCACCATAGGTCCTCTGGGTCTTAGGAAGTCGTAGCACTTGCTAGTTCCATCTTGACCTTCTTGAGATTTCCACCGTTGGAGAAGGGCTTCCACATCCCGATCACTCCCCGTCTTTTCCACCAAGAGTTGCCTGATCTCAAAGAGGGCTTTGAAAAGAAGCGAGTCCCTCGATTTGATTTGTCAATCCCAAATGGAGCTCCCTTGTAAGTAGATATTGTGGATCCATTTGTGCCACAAGGTGCCCTTCTTAGCTTGCATGTTCCAAAGCGTCTTGGTGAGCAATGCTTGGTTCCACACATTAAAGTCTCTAAGCCCCAAACCACCTTCAACTGCGGCAAACATAAACTTTCCCAAGCCACAGGAGCACTCTTCGAGCCCCAAAGGAACCTTTTACATAATTGGGTGATTTTTGTTCGAACTATGCCTGGCAAGTGGAAGATCCCCATCCAAAAACACACAATGCCTTGTATTACCGAACAAAGGAGTTCCAATCTCCCGGTATATGAAAGAGTGTGTCCATTCCACCCACTAAGTTGACCCTCGATTTTCTTAATCATATCATCAAAGAGCCTTCCGGTGATTTGGTCCGCGGAGAGAGGGACACCGAGATACCGAAAGGGCATTGAGCCGCAACGTAAGTTGGTATCATCGAGGATTGTAGCCCGAATATCATCCTTGACCCCGACCAAGTAAATATTGGACTTTAGCACGTTCATCTCGAGCCCCGACTTAGCTCGAAAGTCCTTAAGACAATCCATGAGAATTTGAATTGACGGAGGGTCTCCACAAGAGAGAAGCATGAGGTCATCGGCGAAGGCAAGGTGCGAGATTTTTAACTTCTCGCACATCGGATGGTAGTTGAAATTTGTGCCGACCGCCGTGTTGCTCTTGATAAGCCGAGCGAAGTACTCCATACAAATCACAAAAAAGAAAGGTGATAGGGGATCTCCTTGCCTTAAACCTCGGGCTCCTTTGAAGTGGCCTTTGAGGCTCCTGTTGATAGATAGAGAGTCGATGGAGTGGTGACACACTCCATGACCCACCTCGTAAAGACCGGGGGAAGCCGAGACCATCGAACACTTGCTTCAAAAACGACCAAGAAATGGATTCGAACGCCTTGCGGAGGTCGATTTTGATAATACACCTAGGGGAGATCTGTTTCCTCAAGTAGAAAGCCCAACCTTGATTGACTTGTGCATCGTCGTCATTGGTGGCCCTCTTTTGTTTGTCATCAGCTACAATTCTACTCTTACCATTTCCAATTTCATGCCAGAGAAAAACAGCGATTCAGGAAAACCAGGTTCGCTCATATTCAATCTTTTCTATCTACTCTGTACCATTCCCCAGTCAACTTCTGCGAATTCTTCTATCAAAATCTAGCCTCATTTATTGTGAACAGTAAAATCTCTCCTGGTAAACCGTTGTTGAATTGCTTGTCGCAGTTTATTTTGTTTTCTCCGATAATGCGTGTACTGATTCCAGTCACTGAAATAGTTGCCTTGCATTTAAGTATTTATGTTTTAAGTTTGAAAGAACTTAGCTGCTTGTATTATTTGATTTACATGCTTATCCGCACGTTATTGAAGAACTACCAAATGATAATGCTTGTGAAGTTGGACGTTTATTTTTCTTGTGGAGTTAACTTTTCACTCCCCGTCTTGAAATGGTAATTTATCAGAGTATGCTTATTTGTTCTGGTTGGGTGTTATCTGTCGACATAGCTAGTATCTTCGATTGATTTTGGATACAAGATATCGATGATTTTGCAGGTGCTTATTTGAAATCTAAGGAAAATTGAACCCATTTAACAATGTGCCCAAGCCGTACTATGTGTTGACAAGTAGTAAGGTGCCTAATCAATGGCAGAGTATGTTGCCATTCCAGTCGATGTCAAGCTGCCAGCATGTAGGCGTGTCTTTATGGCCAGGACTTCACATCTCCCACTCAGAAGGTTCTAATAAATTCAATTCCCTTATGATGGTGCAATTGAACTTGGGATTGTTATGATAATTCCTACCTATTTTCATATCTTTATTTTAGGAACTATCATGGTACCAATGGAATGAACCGATTTTCATCATGGAAGGCTCCCAAACTAATTGCATCTAATCTAAGAATTCCAAACGGAAGCACAAAATTGAAAACTTGTATCAGGTGTTATGGCTTGAGTGCTGTAGCCAATGCTAATGGTGCAAGTATTGCTGAATGGGTTCCATACGTGGACCAAGTGCTTATTTTAGCAAGTATAACCCTTACTTATATGGCTGGAGTAATTTCCATGGAGAAATCACAATATAATGCTAAAAAAAGCATTCCCCTAATTGATGTGATCCCTGGAAACTCTTCCCCTGGTAGGTAAGGAAGGTTAGTGGTTGGAATCTCATTATGGTTTGCCAAATCGCAGTGTAACAAGATGGAAATGAATGTTCCATAAATTAGAAAATCCAACTCCTGAGGTATTGTTTTTATTAATTTCAGTGCAGTTTCAAGTGATGATGAAGTTCCATTACAGTTTGCCTGGGATGTTGTGAGTGGCAAGCTAATAGAGGCCTTATCTGCTATCGAGAAAGGGGAAAATTTTGTTGATAGAATTGGCGAATTGGAACAAAATTCTACAAAGCAAGCTTCAAGTTTGAGTGCTATAGCTGAAGGTCCCAGGATAAGGTTGCTGTGTGCATCTCTAAAGTGGCTCAACAAAGAGGTTGGCGCTTTATGTATTGTTGCTTTAGACTTTTTTCTATTCCTTTGCCATATTGTTAGGAGGGTGAGTAATTTTTTCACTACGGATGTTTGGCCCCTTGAAGGTAGTATTAGCTTGGGAAAGGTTCATGTCCTAGGTCATTAGTGTTTATAGAGGATACAAGGCAGATTTATATATATTTTTTTATCTAAATAAAGGAAAAAAGTTTTCCTCTTTTACCTGACATGGGCCATTTATATATATTTTTTTATTTAAAGGTTCTGTTCTTTCCTTTTTTGTTCTTTGCCAGGAACTATTACTATTCAAAATTTATGCTCTGCTACAGATGGAGTGGGGTAAAATATTCACATTGATGTTTGGGTTTCTTACTGCAGATAGCAAATACTGCAAGCGCTGAAACAAATTCTGCAAATGATTTATTGTCTGTCTTCGCTAAAATTATTGAAAACTGCTGCCAACCACTTTGCATGGCATGGCTAGAAGAGGAGCTTTGCGTCATCTCCCGGAAACATGACAAGGCATGCAATATATGTAGTAACATTGGATCAAAATACACTCTTAAAGTTATGTTAATTTTGAGTTGAAGGAAGAATAGAGCTATTATAACCATCTTCATTCCCTTTCTCTATTAGGAGTTCTTTTCATTGGCCGAGAAAAAGTTAACTGGATATGACAACATAACACAAAATATCAGAAAATCAGGCAAGGAATATCTGTATGCGGAGTTGGTTTATGCCCTTGGATTTGGTTCTACCAGGTAAAAACTAATATAATCCAAACATTTTCCTCCAACAGTTTTTGGTGGTCGATTTATTACTGTATGTTTTCTGCTCAACTGCCTTCCTATTTTGATTAGTGATCACAAAATGCATGTTTTGCTCTTTCTGAATGGGTTATGTAAATAAAGTAGATGTCTCGGAAGAATTGGAAGAAAATTTGACAGCATAAGCTAGATAAGATGCTGCTAAAAATTACTTACTATGAAGGTTTTGCATCTCTTTCATCCTGTCAAGTCTTCATGCCTGTATAAGTTTTGGATCCTTTCAGTTTCAATTTATCCGTACCCTGCGTGCTGGAATGTGCTTTGTTAAGATCCTCATTGTATTTGTATGCAATATATTTATGCACCCACAGGAAGGGTGGCTATTACAATGGTAGCTTGTTTATCCAGAATGGAGTGGCTATATTAGAAGATTTGCTTATCACACTAGCAGACGGCATTGCGAGCATGTATTTAGAGCTTATATCCGTTGACAGTAGCTTGTGTAATGAAATGAACAACCTGGGCTTGAGTTTGTGTACCCTGTCGACAAGAGCGCTTCAGAGATTGCGCAATGAGGCATGACTTTTCTTCTTTTTTCGGTGTTGTCCTTACCTTTTCTTCCACCTTTTCTTTTTCCCTTAATTTATTTGGTGTGAAATATGCATGTGTAAATGCCGATTTTGTGAACCTTGGTTTTGAACAATTATTTGAACATAAATTACATTCTGGATCCTATTTCTACTAGACAAGAGGCGTATTAAGTATGAGTGACATGAAATGGCTGCTTGATCTACTGAATCCATATAAATTTACTTCAATGCAGTTCTTTTAATGGGTTGTTTAACCTCCTGATTGAGCAAAGAAAATTATGTGGAGCATGCAATTCTTTATTTGGCATCAAATTTTGAATATTGTCCATTATCTCTTGGTGACATCATTCCTGTAAAATTGCCACCTCAGTGCACACATTTGCTTTTACTATTAATATTCTGCTCGGTTCTGCAACTTGCTTCAAGCAGGAGACTTGGAATTGAAGATGCTGTAGTAAACCTATTCAATTGGATTTATTTTATTTTATTTATTCTACTTCGACTTATTATTATTTACAGGCAGCGTTACAACAATGGTTGCATCAGAACATGGCAGCAGTGGTGTCCATGTACGAAGATCGGTTTGACCTTTGCACGCTTGAAAGGCGAATATTTGAGGAATCTAACAGCAGTGAGGCCAATAATCTTGGTTGGTGGAAGAGGCTTGTTGTCAGGAGATCAGGACACGTCTCACCATCGTTGAGTTTTGTTGTGATCACCCATGTCTCTGTATCTGTTAAGAGAACCAAGGAGTTAAGGATCTTGACTGGGTGGTATGTTCTACTCCATTTAACCTTGGCTTTTCCCTCAGATGATTATGTTTCTATTGCATTATCATATTCAACATGGATGATTACAGAATTTATCCATTAGGTTTTCAAATAGTTAGCTAAAAAGAAAGAACAAAGAAGAGCTGCATTTTTTGCGATTAGGATAAAGTCTGACCATTATCTTTCTTTCTT